CTGCTATTCAATCGCTTGTTTTGTATGGAAAAAGGTTTCACATGCAAATGGATTTTAACAATTCAGAATTTTTGTGAGAAAAAATTAAAAATATTTGACATTTTCGAGACCAAATAATTTGAAAATAAATCAAATCAGCTGCTCTACTGATACTACCTGTTCAATGTACCTTGGATCCAATCTTCTGTAGCGTTGAGTGTGTCAACGTGTTTATATGTATGTAGGCACTTTTACTGTCGATAGTACATATGTTAAATTTTAGCTGATGATTGTAGTACCTAGTAAGAGGTGGAGTAGACGGTCATTGCGTATTTTTGTATGTTTTTAATTTATTTGTCATGCTTTGTACAATAATTTCAAAAATTGTACAATTTTTTCATCACAATTCCAAGTATTTAAATTATAATTTTTAAATTAATTTTTGGCTTGCAGTTCTATAGCTTATCAAAATCAAAGTTAAGTGACAGTTTGAGGTTGCTAAAAAATCGCATTAAGGTTTGATAATTTTATTTCTGACGATGTTATACACTTTTTTCTCCATATAAAAAATTACTTTGTATGAAAGAAAATGCGTGATACCGTCACCGATTATTGTATAAGTCGAAGTAAGGCGCGTGTGCTGGGTTTGCATGTTTGTGGTGGTTACACTCCCTTATTTACGATTGTAAAGCTCCGGTCGTTTCTTAATGAAGATTAATACAAACTGTCCAGTTGTGGGCACTACGCAACCGATTGTTCGGTGCTCCCATCCTACGGAGAATAACCTTCGTTAAGTAAATGTCGGCTTTGGAAGTTATTTGAGGTGAATCATCGCATCGGCGGCAAACCCCTTGACGTTTCACATTGTTGTATATAGTCCATTTCTCGAGTTTGCTTTTTTAGGCGAAATCGAACATTTGTTTGACATGTTTAAATGTTTCTGCACTTTCTCGTATCGTGTTATGTGGGTTCGATTTAATAAATGCCTTTTTTCGTCAACCTCGATGGACCTTCAGGGACGAGGAGTTTCTTTGATAACAAAACGCCAACGTGAAATTTCTTGCACCAGTTGAGGAGTAAAATAAGAAGCAGAAGTTGTGAAGCCGTCGTTTATTTGTCGACAAATTTTACTTCTCTTAAATTTTAGCTAAGATCATTAAAGCGATGGTCCAGAAACATACATTTAGTCGATGAAGTACCGGTTGTAGGTAAACGACTGTAGACCTGTTTTATTTTGCATCATCAATTGTTATACTGCTTTTTTCCAATCACAGTGCGTTTTGCATACGTACATACATATTTGCCGACAAATGCTACACAATTTTGTATGATAAAAACAAGCTTTAAATCTATTTCGATTGCAATAGTTATAATGCAAGAGTTATTAAAAAATTTTGTCCGAAAAGAATGCTGTGTATGAGTGTGTTAAGTTCACGTTTCGTTATTGCATGGTTCTGTTGTAAATTGATCATCAATTTTGAATTGCATTTATTGAAATTCCCTTAAGATTCTCGATAATACTAATTGAATGAACCTGTTCTTATTTTGTATATTCTCTTCCCTCAAAATTAACAGATCTTAAGCAGCTTAAAGCAAATAAAACATTTGCATTTAAAATTGGCATACAATTAAGCGCAAATATTGAACTAAAAAAGAACTTTAAGCACACTTACCGCAGTGAAAAGAAAAATATGAAATGTGTGGAAATAAAAAATGAAAAAAAAATCAGCTAAAAACTGAGTGCAGTAATTAAAAAGACGCTAAAGTTAGAAAAACGAACGTTTAACACGAAAAAGCTGTAGGCTAAGCCAAAGCCATTGGCTGTACATGCAAGCATACATTGTGTTGTTGCGCTTGCGTTGTTATTGTTCTTGTTAGAAGGGTGCACTAATTCCCTGCCACTAACACACACGCTCAAGAGCATTAGTTTAAAAGGTATGTATTTATGTATTCCTTCGCTTCACCTTTTAGGGATAAAAAAAAGTACATTATTTCCTAAATCATTTCAAATACATTCCTTTTGCAGTGTATTGAGATTAACGTTTATGCTTTCATTTCATTATTTTGTATACAGCTCGCAACGCCCATCACCATCAAAAATGGCGCCCACAACAACAATTGAAACCATTACAATCACAAGGCCATTGAAGGTTTGTAACAACTACACAAACTCCATTTTACGCTACAAATTTAATCAAATGCTAAACAATTATAATTTCTCACTTACTATTCCGCTCTAGGTCATTGCATTTATATGTGGTGTCATCGTTGTCATACTGATGATCATGGCTTTAGCTTCCACGGACTGGTTAATGGCTGCTGGCTGGCGTCAGGGTCTCTTTGTGCACTGCATTGAGGAAGATGTTGAATCGCCGCTGCCATTCAATCTACATGATCCGCCGGGTTGTTATGCTAGTCGTGATGTGGGTAAGTAAATATGTAGAATATTTGTTGGTGTTGGTTGATTTTATGTATCGGATAGTTTTGACTTCAGAATAATCGTTGGTCTTTAATTTCTTTTCAGCTTACATCAAAGCCACAGCTGCTCTATGTATAATCACATTGATAACTGATGTGATTGCCACCATACTCACTGGCCTGGGTTTGAGAACACAAAATCACAATGTCAAATACAAATTCTACAGAATCGCTGTGCTGGTGATGCTGTTATCATGTAAGTCCCTAAATATGAATAGCTTGGTGAATTTTACCATCTATGTATATTCTCTTGAGATTAAAAAATAATGTTTCAAATGGCGAGGCGACTGTGTCATTCGATGAAAGAACTATGCGAGTATTCTATGTTCTTTAACCTTTGCCAGAAAAATGCTCTGTAAATGCACATTTGATAACCATATGTATTATTTCTCAATTTAACCTTTGAAGCCAAAACCTATACAAAAAATATTAAATTCATACTATACTTTTAGTGTTGGCTGTCCTGTCTGCGCTGATAATATATCCAGTATGTTTTGCTGGCGAACTCAATTTGGGTGAGTTACACTGATCATTAACTTTAAATGTTACTTCTCTTATTTCTAACTTCTCTTTATATATGTATGGATATTTTTATTTTTTGCAGCGAATCGGCCAATTTGGGAATTTGGTTGGGCCTATGGTGTTGGCTGGGGTGCAGCTATCTTCCTATTCGGCGCCGTTGTGCTACTGCTATGCGATAAGGAATCGGAGGAGATCTATTATAAGGAGAGAAAAATTGTACATGAAAACCATATGCGCGCCTAGGCCAGGCCGCACGACCTGCCTGACGTCGTTCTTTAGACATTTAAGTAAATTATGCGATTTCTACTGATATAATACTACTAAACTACTACTATTACAAAGAACAACAATATCTATAAATCAGCAAACAAACAACAGTAAATCGTAAAGTTTAAAAAATGAACGAGGAAAACAAAAAGTATACAAAATTATAAGAAGTGTGTAATATTGTCATCATTGCCGCCAAGCAACATACTAGACAGAAACAACTATGCTGAAATTGAAAGAAAGCAGTTTAACTAATTTAACACAGAATCCCAACACATACGAATACAAAATCACATACAAACAAAGTACATATACACGTGGAGCCTATGTAGATGGTCAGGTGCTGTAACGTAGTTTTTTTTTTTTTAAATATCTTGTGTGATAAAGCTACAAAATGTGGTGTATTTCTCTGTGGAAATTTGTTGACCGCTAAATCAAAAATATTTAGGTGCATATCAAATTCAAATCAAAACTGAATTTCGCAAGCGCTAAAGCTTGGCAGTAGTTTCGAATTTTACTGACACGCGTTGACGGCGCCGCCGCGGTTAAGGTGTAAAACACGCATATGATACATATTTGAACTTGAATAGAACAAACGATACACACAAACACACTCGAATATTCACACATAGTTTTTGGCATGCTAATGAGCTGATATCATTTGTATAACCAATTTTAACAAGTACATATAACAACATAAATGTATTCATGGTGATCGTATTTAACCGTTTAGCATTTCATAGTTACCTACAAGCATACTATATCTACACATATGTATATTCATCTATAATCGACGTACATTGCAATTATGCACTTGCATACATACATATATAAACACACACATAAGCATACTATGTATTCATACATTTGCCATTGTCTTCGAAAATGCATAGTTGCGCACAGAAATCGTATCTCATATATGTATATGTATGTCTTATAACTTTTTAGTTGACCACCCACTTGACCTAAAATCATCTACATGCATTCCTTACTTTGTATTCTTTTGTTTGCTTCTTTATTGGTGTAACTTCCCACGACAAAATGTAAAAAAAAAACAAGTAAATTAATATCAAACGTACGAAAAATGTAAGAAATTCTAATTAAATGTAAGCGTAAAAAATTGTAGCAAAACAAAATGAAAACAATTAAAAAAGTGTTGCTATGTATTAAAACACATGTAAAACGTTTAAAGCAACAAAATATTATAAACGAAAATCTGGAAAATTAATGTAAAGTCACGCTCATGGACCTACCAATGAATCGAACGAATTCGACGACGATGAATACGTGAACCAAATCATATACCCACATACAATACTTATAGTCACAAGTAACTTTTTATAAACACATATTTACATGTACACACATATACACTTAACATACATATATATGTATATTCATACAAACATTTATTCTTACATACATACTCTCGCACATATGCTCATATATACATACATACATATATACATCTTGAAGAAATTGCAGGCAGCTATAAAAAAAAATGCATATGACTAAGCAGAAAATTATGATGCTTCCCTCACATTGACTTTAAATTTAAAGCGAGTGATATTATTGATTTTCATTAGTAATTTGTTTAATTCTTTACATGAGTCAATATTAAATTATCTGTATTTATTAGCATATGCAACGCTTCCTTAAAACGACAAATTTCGCTAATGGTTCGCTAATTAGATGCCAAACATTTTGTTACTTGGCAAAACAGAAGTGCAAGTAGTCCACACCGGGTCTGATAGCCTCTGAGAAATGGTTTTTATGCTAAATAATTATGCTTCCACAAATATGATATTAATTTTTAAAAATAATGCTATCCTTTGAAATTACTCAAAAGCATAACACCATATCTCGAATACATATTTAATGTTATAACTGAAATTTTATATGGGGGGTACTCGGTGAAATCGACCCATTGGCGACCACTTAAATGTTGGAACAGCCACAACAAAAATCGTGCACACTTACACATTATTTGTACACTTTTAAATGAATATTTTCCCTTTAATAAGTTCATATGTTTTGAATTTCTTTTTACATACTAAAACGAATAAGTCGCTAAAACCATCTTTGATGCCTTGTTGTTTTTGTTTTCTCGAAATATTCTACTACATACTCGAATAACCCCATGAACTGATTGTTTTTGCGTTATAAACTGCGAAATATTTACTTATTTACTTATAGGCCGGTGAAATCTATTATTTTAATCAGAGTTAAAACAAAATATTGAGACAGCTTTTTCTAAAGCCCAATCGGCAATGTATCAAGCGAAAAAAAACAAGCATACTAAATACCTAATAGGAAGATTATTGTTTTTTTTTTATTGTTGTTCTCTTTTTTTGTTTAATATATGCAACTATTTTCTCTTTGTACAAGCTAAGTTAATAAGAAAAAGTAAAAAATAATTACATTTAAATGTATTAATTACAAATGTATAGCAGATTTAGTTAAGTCTGTTAAATTGTTTTTTTTTTTGTCGCCAGCACATGCCTTTTGCGTGGTATATTTACACTTCCATATGTATGTACATATGTAAATATATACATGTGTATAACTGACTAGTCTGTCTTACGAAATTTTTTAAAACACACTTTGCCCTGAAAATTAAATTATTTAAAGTATCCCAAACCCATTGTACCATAATTACCATTATTAATTAATTATTGTACCATGTCCCAAGCCTACGTTTTTCGTACAAACGTTTTTGTTTGGAAAACAAATTTAGAACAAAGCCTCAAAATCAAGAAGTAAATTTAACTTTTGCTCAAAAAAAGTTCAAAAGTTTTAATTTTGTCACTATCCTAACAATGTCCGTTTCCGGTAGCGCTTCAGTAAGCCATACTTGTTTGGTAAGACAGACAATTATTTAACGATATTATTTACATACTAATATTGAGTTAATCGAAAACGAAAATGAAAACAAAAACATACATACATACATATCAACAATTTACTGTTTACAAACTACTCACTGCTAGTTAATTGTATAATTTGTACAACAATTTTGTATTAACATACACACAAACAAACATATTTGTATGTATGTATTTTCAATGTTCCGATTTTTTACCTATTTATGTAATATCCGAACGTGCTGACTATAGACCTCATCCTATAATGTATACCAATCACTTTTTTCTAATCATAATTAGATGTTATTTACAATGTTAGTATTTACTCGATTTAAAATAGCTGATAATATGTAGTTTTTTGGCTTCGGTTGTTGCCCCTCGCCTCCAGTGGCACGTTTCTATTTGATGATTGCGCATGTCCACAGAGGCAAGTGCCGCTAGACACTGAAAGAAAACTTTATGAAAGATTTTTAATCGTGGGACAGCGGATGAGTCCCCGAGAAAGTTTTCGACTTCCTCCACCTCTCTCGTCCCTGCGATAAAAGTCGTTTCAAGTTTTTCTTTTTAGAAAATTCTTTTTTCTATCACTAGCTTATTCTTGTATCTTCTTACCTTATTCCAGAGTGCGTCTAAGTATCAAATTGAGTCATATATGTATTCATTGAGCAAACATTTTCGGTTTCAATTCTAATTTTTTTTCTATATATGAACTTGTACTTTTAAGTACTTTATGTTTACTTTTTATATATTAATTTTTTTCTTTATTCTACTACCCTTTACAGTAAATATTAACATTGTAAATTGCATTAAAATAAGTTATATTTGTTTACACTACTTATTGATTTTATTTTGACTAAGTTTTTATAAATATGTATGTTTATTGATTTTTCTGTATACATATGTATTTTGTTTTTGTAATATTCTGATTTTCTTTATCTAATATAAACAATGTTAAATTATCAAAAATATCGTTTTGTATTTTTATTTCAGTGTATTATTTTATTTACAAACTTTCAGGTTAAGGTCAAAATATAGTTTCTGTTAGCCTCGCAATATTCTTTAAATTGCCTAAAAAACTGTTTACACTGACGCGTCACAGGATTTGTGGCCAAAAGTCAAGCAAATACCTATCTACTGGCGTCATCCTGCAAGAGATTTACCTCTGTGTAGACATTATAGCAGCTACGCGGACTTGCTACCCCTTCTTGCCATTGTAATTGAATATTCAATATTGTAGTTTTTATATATTTTTTTATTCAAGCACAGTTGTGGAATTTTTTGTTAAAGGCAATTAAATTATATGAATAAAAACTTATTTAACTTGAAATATTAATGTGAAATAAACTGTGAAAGGATACAAAATAAAATTCATATATTCATACACTGCCCTGCAAAAGTTTGGACTCGCTTGGAAAAATCGTGTTGGTTTGTATGGACCGGTCGATGCTAAAAACCCATTGTTGCGATCGGTAAACGTATGGGGATGTTTATTCTACGATGATGCCAATAACTAAAGCTAGAAATACAAAAGAAGTGAGTCCTAACTTTTGCAGAGCACTGTATATGTATGTCCGTTAAGGTGGATCACTATTGGCATTAAAAAATTGTTATCACCCCTATTGGGAGTGTCGACTAGTAGTAGATAAACGATTGTTAGTCTATTATCGATTATCCGTGGCATTTTTAAAGTCGTTTTCTCGTTCAATAAGTGCGTGTGAATAGTCGCTCATCCTTCTACAAACAAATAGTTGTAGAAGGTTGAGCGATAAAAAACTATTCCCAGTCGCTTGTTGGACGAGAAATTGACATTCACAATACCATGGAAAAGCGATAATCGAATAAGAGTCGTAAGTAGAGACTTCTAGTAGAGTCGACACTTCCAATAGGGGTGTATATTTTAAGACTTTCGAAAAAAAAAATTTAAATTTAAAGTTCATAAATGATAAACGATCTGGAAATCGAAATGATCCAGCTTTCCTCTGGGTTAGAATTAACAATCGTGGTTCTCATTGAAATCATTTTTTATCCCAATACACCGACGCCGGCCTCATTTTTTAACTTTAAATTCCCAACACTTTTGTTCTCTAGAAAAACTTTCCCCAGACTTTTGTTCTAATTTGATCCTCCTTGAAAACGTTTTTGATAATTTTGTTCTCATTGGAAACGTTCCCGATAGTTTCGTTCTCATTCTGTTCTTCTTGAGAACATGTCCGATAGTTTTGTTCACATTTTCCTCTTTTCGGAATCGTTCTTGAACCTTTTGTTCCTGTTTGGTTCTTTTGTGGGATTGTTCTTGACATTACATTTTGCTCTCATGCGGAACTGAACCAAAATCGCAACGCTTTCTTGGTCCCTGCAATAAAAAAAACTACCTTTTAGCCGTTTTAGTCAGTGTTGTTATCGAAATTCCTCTGATCGGAATACATTTTGGAAATTAACTTTAGGACTTAATCCGGCTCAACACTGCCATCTGTCTATGCTTTTAGACTGCATGAAAAGTGAAAACTGTGGTGCGGAAATTTACAGGCACAATGCTACCACATTTATCCATTAGCAAGTCCTATAAGATAATACACCCGCGACAAAAGATGGCACATCAATATTTTTACCGGTTTTGACTACTTTTATTTTGCTTTTTTTAAAGTCCATTATTCTTATATATGTATAAGTATAGCTCTTTATCTAACAAGTGCCATATAAATCTAAATTTCAGACTTTGTACACAAATTATAAAAATTCCACTAACTTTTCGTCCCAATTCCAAGAATTTAAATTTTAATTTCTGGAATTATTAAATTCTTGTATAATAAAGAGCAAGTTTGAAGTTGCTAAAAAATCGCGTTGAGTTTTGATAATTTTTTGCTGCACTCTTTTCCATATAAAAAATGACTTTGAATCGGTCATGACTTCATACCAAAATAAGCATTTTCACTGTATGAAAACTAAGTAAATAAAACCGGCTTATACGGTTTTTTCTTAATTTTAAAATCAGCAACCGGATTTTTTTGAAATTGCAATTTTTCGAATAACTTGAAAACCGGGTTTGAAAAAACCTTACTGACAGTGTTAGCCCAGCTGACAATTTGTAATTTTTCTTTACAAACAGCCTGGGTTTAATGCTGTTGCCAACAACTTGTTTTAAACAAGCCAATGCAATACAGTTTCTACAAAAATAACAACCGCATTCATATCTTCGAAAGTCTAAGACACAGATTGATTAAAAATAGTCCTCCATTGAAATACGTACATACATATACTTATAGCCTTATAATTACACTTAGGCTCATCAGCTGCTACCAGTCATGGAGAAAAGTATAGGCACAGAGAATTTTTCACAAAGTACGCACACTTTTTTATTTGAAATTTTTTCCGCTAAATTTTTATAAAAATAAATTTTTTCCTGTTTTGAAACGCAATAAAATTATTTTATAAAATAGAAACTATTTACTAGTCACTTAGTAAGTAACACTAAAACTCAATAACATGCAAATTTCTAATCAGTTTAAAAAAAAGATCATTAAGCAGTTTTGTAGCCTAATAAATTTTAGGAAGTATTTTCGACTATATGGAAGAAACTGCACAACACCGCCAGCAAAAAATTGCCGAAAATCAACGCTAAGTCCTATAGCTACTTCGAACTTGCACTTTATTATATCAAAATTAACTGGGCTAATTTTTAAGCAATTTTATTGAGTTTGCGCGAAGTTTAGAAATTTAATTTTCATGTCTTTTATTGTAGTATGAATCATATTTTTATAAAAAGTTTGCGGACAGAAAATTTTTGCATACATTGTGAAAAGTTTTCTGTGTCTATACCATTTTACGTGACCGTTTAGTTCAAAAAGCTTTCCTAAATTACAAAAAAAAAAATTATTTGTGTTTAAGAAATATGTAGTTCAACATCAGCCACTGCAATGACACAATGCAATTAGTATTTTTATTGGTTCCTTGTTTAATTAAAATGTGCTTTTTTTTGTTTTATAGTGTTTTTCGCAAAAATTAGGTTTTTGAAGCAATAATCAAATAAAATGCAAAAATTCTCCATTCATACAAATTGAAATGCTTAATTAAACAAAACTATTAGCGCTAACTTTGACATTGGACATTTCATAAGAACAACAAAAACATCAATCAGCAATAACAGAGCAAAAAGCAAACAAACAAGGCAAAATATAATTATGTAATTAATTTGATAGCAAAGAACAAAAAATGACAACACAAAAGCGAACAAATAACAAAAAAAAACAACAAGAAACTCAAAGCAAAAACAAAAACCAAAACCAAACAAATTGAACAAATCGTAGGCAGGAACGTGCGGTGGTAATTTAATTATATCTAGTAATTGTAATTAAACTATGTAGTAGTAGTAAAACCGAAAACCAAAATAAAAATAATTAAGTTGCAAATTAAGAAGAAAAAAGAAAACTAAATTTCCAATAAATATATTATGTAATAATAAAACGAAAATAATTTTTAAGCGTACGCAATGTTTTAATTGATAAAATAAAATAAAGTGCAAAAACAGTAAGTTTAATAATTGAGTAAAAAAAATAAATAAATAAATAGATACTCGTATTTTTGCAATATAGGCAAAGTTGTGCTGTAACATGATTAAAGGTAAGGTCGCTAACGCTAAATTTTCTACGTCAAAACTCGGCGAATAGAAAAAAAGAGGCCAAAGATTTTTTGGGACTAAATCTGAGAGAATACGATATGTCACCGATAAGTTAAGAACCGTCATTAAAATGTCAGTCAAGAAGATATAATATTAGACTAGGTATCGGATAATTGGAGAGTAAATTTTCCAAACACTTACGTCAATATATATACCTAGATCACCTACATATCGTCACTACACACGAATAAAGGCGCGCTAGTGCTAGCATACTTCGTCGAAATTTTTCATAAGCATCTTTTTCGCGAAATTAGTGACGATATGTATTATACCTATTACTTATTACCAATATTTTTCGATGCTCAAAAGGCTAACTCGGGTACTAAACACTTTGTTGACACGTAAAGTTATTCCAGCATTTATTTGGTTCTAGAATGGTGTTTGCTCTAAAAAAAAATTTTTAAAGGTAGTCTTTGGCATACCTACCTGGTGTTTTCCCGCATTCCCGGCATTCAGTCAAAGGACATTTCATTGTGTGAATATAAGCTTTCAGGGCTCATAAATATCAAAGAATAAGAATACTTGTTTCCTCTCGTTCCCGCGACAGTCGCGTCTATGTAACCGGAACGACCTAAATCAATATATGGCGAAGGAGTGACACTGAAACAAAAACAATCACTTGTTTCCTCTCTGTAGGTCTTGCGAGTGGGGCTCAATACTGCCTCTTGGATAGCAAACAATTCCTGTTGACTCACACCCTCAGTTCAGGTGATAAAACTCCTCCTCTTATTCTTCCTTCTTGTTCGAAGATAAAATATCGTTTGATTCCCTTTGTAGACGTTTTCCTAAATCTATCATTGAACAGAATAATCCGTTGCATACGAAAACACAAACGATTGTAACATCCATTTATCGTAACAGCGTTGCCCGGATCATTTTCGAAGTACGGTCCGATGGCTCCGCCAGCCCAAAAACCACACCAAACAGTAACTGGTTGTGGGTGCATAGTTTTCTTGCAGTTGGAGCAGTTTTGCCTGCCTGTATTTGGGGGTTGTTGATTACGAATCTAAAAACGGTTTTCAAAAATTCAAAATGGCGGATCCAATAAGACGGATTTTTACATAATAGTCAGATTTTTATTAAATTTGAAATCCAAAGGTTCTTCGAGTCTCTGATAAACAAACTGGAATCGATTTTCGAAAATTCAAACTGGCAAGTGCAATATGGCTGATGGATTTATAAACAAATTTTCCGATTTTTTTTAAATTTGATATCCAAAGGTTCTCTGAGGCGCTGATTACAAAACGTCTGACGGATCCAATATGGCGGATTGATTTTTTAAAA